TTCTAATTCATCTGGGTTTTTTGTAGTTTTTTTAGATGACATTATTTTTCTGGATTTTATTTTCTAAAAATCTTGACTGCATTTGATTACATAATATACGAGATCATTTGCTTATATAAAAAAAAACAACAAAATCTAGAACATATAAATAATATTCTGTATATAAAACAAAAATTTATTTATGTTTAAATGTGTAATCACTATTATATGATGAATCAAGAAAACGGACAACTCTTATTTATGAATATATGGTCACTTGATTAAAGATCTTTTAATCTCTTTTGAAAAATCAATAAGATATCTATAACTATAGTAAAATCAATAAAGTTCATAATTTATTGGAATTAATTTCATTTTATTCAGGCAGAATAGTTTTTGGTTTATATATATATATATATATATATATATATATATATATATATATATATATAACCTGAATCTCAACATAACACTTCATAAGGAGCATATGAACCGTACAACTTACTCAAAAATGAATGAAATAGATTCATACTGTATGCCAACATCATTGTAAAGAGAAGCTGTCAAGATATGAATCTGAAGTTCATGAAGATTGTGAATAGATAGAATTTAAAGCTTCCTTCTCCGAATCACTCGAGAATTACATACTGTGATATTTTAGTATTGTATTATCCACCATTTTGATATAGACATTCTAATTTGGTCCGAAATTTCGCAATGCCTTGACAAACATCAATGTAATTCACACACAAGACTCGTTCGAAAGCTTCATAAAATGAAAATCTGACTTAACCGTAGTCTATCATAAAAATTTTGAACAACAGTTAAAAACTTGATAAAATTAAAAGGTAAACTATTCATTAGCATACCTTATTTGAACACTTAAGGTCGTCTGGTTCTACCGTCTGACAAGTGTATAGATTTTCCAAAGTACGAAGGAAAATCTGATCGATCCCCTATCTCCGAAACCCAGAAGAATTTTCACAGAGGACTCAGTTGACGAAGAACGAAATCCAAAAATACTTGTGGAGAATGAATCTCATCCCAACTAATTGACAAAATCCTGAAACCAAAGCATCTGAATGAAATAACCTCTACCTTACCTAAGAATATTTTATTCCTGAACATTGAATCCAAAGCGGATAACGCCAAAGAGATTTTAGAGAACCGATTATCGAAATCCTTGAGAAAAATCCTTTATATTGTTGAGCCATGAATTATATTCTCACCCAGACACTTTACTTGAGAATATGTCAGGGATGAATCGCTCTTTTGGGCTTACTTGCTCTTATGAAGCATTTTATATTGACTACGCAAAGCGTGTTATTTCTAAATTCCTATCCGACCGCTAACCAGCACGGTGATTTAGAGATGAAGGCTAACTAACCGATAGTTCCAATGCTGATTATCTGGTAAATTCTGATCATCTATCTCTAAAGAGATCTTTGTTTTAAAACTATGGATAAAGTCTTAAAAGCTAGTTTTTTAAGGAAGCTGGATAAGAAACTTGTGCGTATCAAAGGATTTATCGGTTCATCATTTTAAGCCTGATCTTTTTATTCAGAAGCAATTTATCCAATCCGTTATCTTACCACTGTTTTTCCATCTCTCCTCTTTTGCAATTCACTTTCGACATGTATTTGTCATCTTTATCTTCTTTATATTCATCAAATAGATGACAATTTTTCACATCTCCGCTCTATATTTTATTTTCATTCTTATGAAACTTTTGACTAATAGATAACTTAAAAACTTTTTATATTAACTTGTAGTGGGGAAATTATAATTTATGGACGACCTTTGGGCACCGCTAAAGTGACCTTGAGACGTCCACCTAATTACTATCTTTAAGTAAGTGTTATAGATTAGTATTAGGATTTACGAATAGGATTAACGGTTGAACGTTGGGGTAAGGAATAAGATTTAATATTTTCATCACGAGCTGACATAAGCTATAATGACAACATAATATTAAGCTAAATGAATCAGTGAATTTTGCGCAAAAAACCAAGACCTGCTATTTTAAATCTGATTAGTTCGTCCATAAATTATAATCTCGCTACTTGTAATACTTTTATTAAAGATTCGATAATTTATTATAGACAATGCAAAAAATAACTTCAAATACAATTGTACCAGTTTTGATAAATGATATCATTCAGAAGGAGATATTCTTCACTTAACTATCCCAGTTTATTGATACATTGTGTTTCTTTTGTTATTTTAATATTATTGAAAGCATTTCATTTAAACTAGTAATATGAAATCATTAACTTTCTAATTCAATCAATAAATTTCGACAAGTTTACACATGACAATCCATATTTTAGTGAAATAGTATTTTTTTTCTTTTTTAAATTAACTCATACATGTCTTTTGAAATGTTTCCAGTAACCTCTTTTTTAGAATTCAAGTGTAATACTATTCACAAGTAAACATTTATGTATGTCATCACTGGAATATACATATTACCTAAAAGAAAACTTAAGATTCGTGATGAAAAAGAAATAAATAGAACAGTTCATTGAAATTGAAAATAACATGTTATTCAGTTTAGTTTAAGTTGCTAGTGAGGCGGACTTATTGTTTCAAGAGAATTGTATTTTCGGTGACCTCATAAATTCTACAACTTAATCCAACATCTAATAATTAAAATAAGTTAGGATAACTTTTAGCTGTTGTAAGATTTCGATATAACTTTCATTTTAATAACATGATCTACTTGCTATATTTGAGGGACTTTTTACAAGCCTGTGAAACTCTTTGCTTAATGTTGTGGATTGAACTAGATGCTTGTTTAGAGATCTAAAACTTGAAGGTTCTCCCAGAGTATATTTAAATACACTGTCAAAGAATTTCCGACTAGGATGAAATAACTATCCAGGGCTTCCTGGTTTTTAATAGATGTCTAACATAGACTAATTAATAATATCAGTAAATATGTCCAAAATTGAAAAGCTGTTTCAAATAATCATTTTATCAGTCTTATTTCACACAATAAGATTTATTCTAGATAGAGTTTAGCTCGTACAATATACTTGGTTGTCATATTAGTCACTGTTGAAAAAGGCTCATTCATATTACTTTTTTTTTAATTTATAAATTAACCCGCATATCGAATTGTTGCTGTTATAGTTGTTGTAGTTCTTGTTGTTGTTGTTGATTAATATTCATTTGGTTTAATAAACTTCATTGATTTAATATTTATTGATTTTAATAATATATCAACAACAACGAAATTACAAAATTAATACATTCAATTATCACATATACCCTTATATAATAAATTATTATTCATAAATGAGTAAGACAAAAAAATAAAAAAACTTTTTGTAATATTGATTTTATGTTTGGGTTTTGTTAACTCTTTTCGAAGTTGTAATTACTTCTATTTGAGCTACTTTGTTTTACTGGATGAATCGATTTGTGACCTTCATAAAACTATACAACTACTGATTAAGATAACAGATGAAATACGACATTCTGATGAAGCGTTTGATGCTATGTTATATATATATATAATTCGAAGTCACTATTGAGCTTACTAGTAGAACATCAGTAAGCAGAAATGTGTTTCATTGTATTGTTTAGCTTTCAATGGTTGCTGAGACCTACACAATTAATTATTCATTCTAACCACTAAGCTAGATAACGATGGAGTTTTGTTCTTTGAGCTCAGAGAACAAAACTCCATCAAAATCATTCACCTGAGCTGCAAATCTTCTCCACCATCTCAAGTTAAATTACATAACACTATAAAGCATTGATTTCGGCATTAGATATTTGAAATTGCACAGAAGAAATTTTTAATAAAATATCAATATAGCTTTGTTTTTACCTTGTAGCAATTGACTAACAATGAATTACTGACTGACAAATATTCAGTATGCTGATTCAAAAATGTTACTTACAAAATCATCAACAAAAACTAATTATCATCACATAACGGGTAGTGATCACTGATATACTGATTAGTAAAATGCTTTCAAATCTTATCATAGGCTAACTTTCATAGATATTGACAAAATACACTTACTTTTAATGGAAATGATTCTCATCAAATAAAACTGACGGCAATGAGTTTAAATAATGTTGTTTATTTAGTTTCAGTCTAGTTTCTCGTCATCTAATATCGAAACATTATGTTCGGCTGAGAACAACGTTAATAGTACTTAACATTATTAATTTCGAAACTATAGGTTGACAGTAATCTGTCGGTTTTAATTTTGGAAGTATATTCCATATAACAGTATTTCGTAATAGAAAATCTTTCTGTTTCTATTTAAATCACAAAAATTGTGTACATATATCCGTAACAATAACTGCTTCTTCTCCTTTAATCTTTAATGTTTCCTCAATAACTTTAATCCATAAATATTTTATCTAAATCTAGAGGTGTTTTCATTGAAAGAAATCTTTCATCACAAGACGGCATGAAATGTAGAACTGGTGGATCGTATGTTCGAATTGAATTAGCACCAAATTTAACGTCATCAAGTATTACATTACATAAATTCATCCACTAACAGTCTCCTTGAGATACTCAAACTAAAATGCGATTTATCTGATGTTATATATCAAAACTTGCACAATTCCATGAGTTAGCATGCTAATTTGATGTAATTTGTTTAGGATAAATCGTTTACCAAGCACAAGTTTCTGTGTTCGAGCAAGTAACAGTATCCGGCTGCCTAAACCAAAATAGATAGAATACTATTCAAACCTGTGACCTGTTGATTGTAAGTCAAGTGCCTAAATCATCAATCTGTCTTCATAGTTACGTTATCAAAGATTGCATGCTTGAAATTTGTACACTTGTATTTTTAAGACATACTTTTTCACCGCGACAGCTGTTGCTTAATGAATTGGAGGTCTATATCAACTTATATAGTCGAATAGTAAGTTTTGTCATTATCCAAGCCACATATTTTACTTGGGAGATTTATGACAAATTCTAATTTGACCAAATTTATAAGTTTTACACACCTACTACAGAAACTATTACTTGTTTTATTTGCCAGGATCCATGCTTGGCGGGAGTATATACGTACTTACAGGTGCTGTAATGAATAGACGGACTGGGCCTGCAGTATTTTTGGCATATATACTGGCTGGTTGCGTGGCGTTACTTAATTCTCTAAACTATTCTGAATTAGCATGCCGTATACCAAAGGTAAGAAAATTGTCACTTCTAACTTGACTGAAATTTGCTGGCCGAAACTTTGTAACTGTACTAATTTATCGTTGACTGCTATATTTGACAATTAAACAGATATCATAGCTGATCATAATGAATTAATGATTAGTTCCATGATTCAAATTTGCATTTAAATAAGAGGCTGCTTTTCTGGTCAAAATATAAATAAGGTATGAAAACAAGCATTACATTGAATAGTCTATATAACATCGTTTACAGTACATCAATTCTTTTATCACTGGACATTTTAGTGATGATTTATTAAGTGAAATCTAATGAACATGATAAATTCAGTCGATCACTACTTAGATGTAGTTACATAACTTTCTTAACCATAGACAGTTGAACCTATAGTCATTAAAGTGGTATGTATTATGATGAATAATTATCGCTGTAAACAAATCATAGAAAACTAATATACAACGAACCATAAATACTCCTTACATCGATTGCCTACACCTGAAGAAAATTGATTAATTTGCTAAAAGTACAAAATATTATAATATACTTGCATAGGCTATATTTATAAAACTGTAAACACAACTGAGCTAATAAGTTTTTAAAAAGTTAAGTAACTTTGAGACATTTCTGTCAGTGAACTGATCTCTAATGAAAAATTGTCCTTAAGTAAAATATGATCAAAACTACGATAATTTGATCTCAAAAGAATCATTGTGTTTCAAAATAACAGAGCATCTTTTCTATCTGTTATAACTACAAGTTTAGTACAGTCACTACAATCCATTTGAAAATGAACCAATAGATTTTTACTGAACAAAAGAATAATAGTTCACCCACCATGAAATATGAGTTTTATGTGTTCAATTACATTAGAGTTTTAGGATGTGTACTTCTGAAGAACAAACATCTGTTCAGTACCATAAGCTTTAAACTCATATTTTAATGAATTATTGTCTTTGACAGAAACCATACTTGAAATAACATAGTATGAAATCAAAAATAGTGACCGGGCAATTAGAATAAATCGAGAACGTTCGTAAAACGTGATACGAAAAGCAGAAAAGTTGAATCGAAATTCAACGTATTGAGTGTTAACACTTTTTCCCGAATCGATTATTATTGAATTTATTTTAAAAATTCGAAAATCAATTCTCAATTTGTTGAGCGTTGAAAGGAACTAAGAACAATACTACATTATGTAAATGTACATGAATTGTTCTCCCCCATCGTTATACTCTAGTCTTTACAACGAAATTTTAATGACTTAAATTAAATATAGAATATTCATATTTATCATATGCTGCGAATATTTTAGTTTGGGTTTCTACATGACTTATCATTATTTTCATAATAATAGGTAAACTGTACATTATTATATCATTGTATAGTATATGGTAGGTTATTTAGTAACTAATATTACTATTGTTTGTTTTTCTTTGTATAATTATGGATAATCGATCATTCCAAATATATATTGCCATGTTATCAAGTTTTTACAAAAAAACCATCGAAAAAATTTTAGTCAAAAAGTGGAACTGAGCTACTTTTCTTAGTTGTTATCATGACTACCATTAATGTTTGTTTACTGAGAGATTAATCCAAAAGTCTTCTATTATTCCTCTCTGAAACAGATATTTGTCTAAAAATTAAATGTTGATACCCATTTGCAACAAATTTTTATCGTCAATTTCCTGATTTTATAATAGATTTTTGATTGTTTCTATTTTTTGGAGAACGTTTTGTTACTTTTTACTTTCTTCATGTCGTTTAGGCTGGTTCTTCATATACATACACATATTTTATCATGGGTGAATTTCCTGCTTTTATAACTGGATGGGCAATATTACTTGAGTATATACTTGGTATATCACTTGTTGCAAGATGTTGGAGTAGTATGCTTGACAGTCTTGCAGACAATCATATAAGTAAATGGACAATACACAGTGTTGGTAGGTAGGTATAATCTTTATCTAAGTTATTTGAAAATTTTTCTAAATTGTTATTTATAATTAAAACATTAATTGTCTGAGAATTATAAATCTCAGACTGATTCTAGCCAATTATTTTTAAAAAGGGAGCACTAAACAGGTGTCTCACACTACTGCTCATCACAACAGGATTACCAGGAATCAAAAACTACACTGTATATATCTTCACTGAACATATAATGTACATCAAACAAACGGCTTCCTTTGATAGAATGCAAGTACACCTATTCCACTGCACATTTATTACATTAATCTCATAAAAAATCCCGTTTTAGTAAGTGGGATAATTGGGATTGTGAACCAATCAATTTTAGCTCATCATTGAAAACCTGGAAGCACTGGATGGCCGTTTCGTCCTAGTATGGAACTCGGTCGTTTTTACACTGCCATGTAATTCTAGCTTGATTATCGACTTCGATTTTTCTCGATTCTAAACATATGCGAGTTGTCCTTCGATTATGGTTTGTTCTATTACCTTTAACTTGAGGTTTCTAAACTGCTATGTCGTTTAACAGAAGTTCCAATACCCTGTAAGAATAATCTTACTATTTTCTTACAATTAAGGTTATTTCCCTGTCCTACCGCCGTAGTGAAATGTCTCCTTCCTGTTTATTTCATTAAATTGTCTAGCATGGTTCTTACCTAAACTCGGTAACTGTTTCAGTACAATATTATTATCTAGTTTAGCGAACTGTAAAAATGAAGCGATTTTATATGAAGCGTTTTCGTATTTGTGTGTGTGTTGTAACTTGAGAAACAAAAGATAATATATCTATTTGAATATGTGTAAAGTTTACTGGTGAATAACTGTGTACGTGTTGTTCTTGATCTACAGAGAGTATTTCTTAAACTTACATAAGTTAAGATCGTTTTAACAGTTGCAAGTTTGTACTTTAAAATCTGCTTCAGATAACTGTAGCAGATACAATCCTCAAATCATATATGTAAATCAGATGATGATTCATGTAACAAATGTGATATACGTGTAATATACTTTTTATCTAAATTATACGAGAGTAAATAACGTCTGAGCTACTGCGAGTATGATGTTCATGGACTTTAGAGTTTACGTAAAAATAATGACCTCAGAGGGCCTTCAAACATTTTGTGTAGAATATTACATTTCTCCACAGAGCGAATGTTATTCCTCCCTAGCCCAGAAAGAATTTAAGTCTAAAACTAATTAATTAAAATTCAGGTGCTTTAATCGTTAAACAATTTCTTATTTTTTTCGATTGACCGTATGAATATCTTACTAAGGATTCAAACCAATGTGGAAACTATCAATCGGCTCTTATAGCTGAATCTAGAGCTAAAAATAGCTTCGAATTTGCTAAGCTATTTTTAAATATTTATTAAGGTAACCTATCTCTAATGCTATTGGGTTAATTACCTTATTTTACAGATTATCTCATCCAGGTGGTGTATTAGCTGAACATTATGACTTTGTCGGTGTATTGCTGATTATTATATTGTCAGCTATATCTTGTTGTGGAGTTCGTGGCAGTGCAAAAGTGACAGCAGTTTCAATTTTCGTAAATGTTGGTGTATTAACAGTAACATCAATCTATATGTTTGTATACAGCAAAACAGAATATTTATCTATCACTTCACCCAATATTACAGTAGATAAATTATCGCCAAATCCAAACTTTTTACCATTTGGAATACCAGGTTTAATAGGTGGTACAGCAATTTGTTTTAATGTATTCATTGGTTTCGATGCAATATCAACGTGTGCAGAAGAAGCTAAAAATCCTAGTTACAGTCTACCTAGAGCGAATATTGTAGCCGTTATAATTGTAGCAATTTTGACCACAGTATCTTCACTAGCACTCACTTTGTATTATCCTTGGTTTCTTATTAGTACCGAAAGTTCATTTTTAAGTGCATTGAAAGGTAATACGCTAAATGGTGGACCAGAAAATGTACGAACTGGAATGTTTTATTTTGTTGGCGTTGGATCATTAATTGGATTAATTGCTTGTTTAATTACTTCATTAGTTGCTGCACCAAGAATTAGTTATGCTATGGCTCAAGATGGTCTTATTCCAACTATTTGTTCTCATCTTTGTCAACCTTTTAAAGTAAGTTTATTATTCATATTATATATATTTGACGATAATTTGTTTCATTGAAATGTAAAAGCCGGTAAACTAAAACGAGTAGAATACAAGATAGTAATTTCTCTCTAAGTGTCCAAAAATAGGGTGAGAGAGCAGGTGATTTTTATCAGTTTTTAGTGGTGTTTAATGCAACCTTACTCTTCCATACTTGAATCAATAATATAAATACTTAGACTCGGTGATCTGATAGACTGACGCTTATTGACCACCGTAGGAATTCAGTCCTCAAACTTCAAAGACAACCGATATACTGTTTATTAGGTTGACTCAAAAATCCAGATGTTTATATGTATAAAATACGGGATCTCAATGCATCGTAAATTGGAAATTGAAACATTTAAGTAACTAGAATATTTACAGTAATAATGAGAATAAAACGAGTTAAAGATTAATTTATAGCGAGTTGGGGACAGAAAATGATACAATAACACCTATTGTGTAAATTTCACGTACCTGTCTGGATAGTATCATCAATCAACGCGGAGGATCTGATGAAGACGTAAAGACAACGATTGGCGAAGTAAGGATAGCATCCCTACAGTTGAACAGCATATATAACTCCAAACGGCCGCCACTCAACCAATATCAAACTCACAATCTCCAATATAAACATCAAGACAGTTCTACTGTACGCTGCTGAAGCTTCCAGAACTACTACAACCACAATCATAAAAGTACAAGCACCCACCGGAATTTGCTTAAATTGCTGGAAAATAGTTAAAAACGTGTTGGCAGATAGTTCTCGAACTCAGACATGAAAGCAATATGGCCATAATCAAGAAAGACATCGACACAAATTTAATATCGAACTCGAAGTTTAGTCCTGAATTTAAATAACATGAGTTATGATAGTTTTCAATAAGCACTGAAAAGAGTAACATTCCTTGTTCTACATAACTAATAGCTCTTTTACATAAGCCATTATTGAACAGTCAAAGCATTAGGTGTTTCACTAAATTTTAACAAATATAGAAATATTGAAATAGGAAATGTGCATGATATTTTCAACGGCCATATAAAAGTGAATATCATGCATATCAAATCACTAAAGTTGATTCCAGATAACTATGAGTTTTGAAAGATCGGAAGAAACAAAGAATATTTCCTTCCTGTAGAACTACTAAGAATATGCAATTTTTTATTAATACCAGGTTTACTTAAAGATGTATTCTGTTACAAACTGAGGTCGACTGGAGAAATTCTCACCTGTGTATTCCTTCAGTCACCTATATAATTAATCTAGGTAGTTTAACAGTAATATCGACGACAACTTCAAACCGGAATACGCTTTAAACATTTAATCCACGAAGTACTCAATTAATTCTTCCTAATCATTCTATCAGTAATTAGCTGCCAATCAAATTAGATAAATTCTAAATCAATTCATTCTGATAATGAACGAAACAGTTATGAATAGATAACTACAGTGTAATTTTAGAAGTCATTTCATATAACAAGCTGATTCCTGAATTTACTGAGCTATATCTTCACTTGATAATCTTTTGAGTCCGCTTGTCACAAATTGTTCTTGAAAAAAACTATGACCTTACTGATAGAGAACCAATTTTGAATCATACTTTTTATATGCATACTTTTATTGATCTACACGTTGAATTAATAATATAAGCAGTTTTTCTGAGCAACAAGTTGAATCTTAATAAGAATGGTGCTATTTCTCTGTTAGACAGAATAACTGAACCAGTATGAGTTGCTTGTCAATTGCCTCTCTACATTAATAAAACTTACAGTATGACAAAAGTTGAGTATCTTTCGACCTACTGTTGAATTGTGTGTTGAAAGCGCAAATTTGAAACTAGTGAACACTTAATTTTGATGTTTAAGTATTCCCATTAGAGCTTCTGCAAATAGCAAAAGAAATATTAATACTAACTGATTGAAATCACATTTGATATGTGGAAAGTGAGTAGAGTGTTTTAAATATAATTTCTAACCTTATTATAAAGTCTATATTTCCACTTATTTTTTTCAGTTATCTGATTCCTGATATTTCCGATGGACTATAGCTTAATGTAAATAAGAATCAGAATAGAATAAGTCAATATCTGAAATTGTATTCATGATGATATTTAAGTAACCAGTTTGGGTTATTTTACATTCCGTGAAACCAAAACTTTTGATCTAATTTCAGGAATACTTGCTCAAATTTAAAAAAATGCACCTATCTGACAACTTAATCTCATTTTTAGAAAATGCTAAATAGAAATATAACTGACTGTGAAGGTTAATTTAATCAAAAGTTTATTGACAAAATACTATTATAGTACTACACTTTTCATCTTATATTTTTATTTTAGACACCTGCCATTTCAACAACATTCGTCACAATTATAACAGCCTTACTAACATTGATTTTTAGTGTGGATAGTTTAGCTGATTTTATGAGCTTAGGGACGTTAATCGCTTATTCAATTACTGCAATAGCTATTATATGTATACGTTACAGAGAACAATCTGATAATCCACAAATGTTGACTGAAACTGATCAAATAGAATCAGACAGCATTGAAAAAGATAAGGTAATTAATTATTTCTCTTGTTTGTTAATAATCTATTAAGATTGAAGTCTTACTAATGTACAAACAAGTAATAAACATGCTGTATAGGATATAAATGTGAATTCTGCTTTCTGGGTTGATTTGCCTATTTTTGATTGATAAACAATGAAATTAAAGATCAACGTTCCTCGGAATCGTTTATTCAGACAGTTTATTCCAAGGACACGAGAATAACCTCATGAGTTGCATTCTCATATTAACCAGGTACAGGCAGAGATTCGTACATCATTTTATCTGTTAGTAATTTCCTGCCAGTAGAGTACTGGCGGTATTTATCTAAAAATGTGAAATATATTTGGATTTTGTAGATTATCCGAAAATATTGTATGGTCAACATTAGTACACATTAGTACTTGTTGCTCTCTAATCACCCAAACAAACAGATCTATCTATATTAGTATATATGAACTGACTATGTAAATGACTTAATACTTCAGAATAATTTACAATTATATTATTTTACTTGTGGCTATCAGTAGTTACTGTGAATTGTCCTTTTTGATTTTCTTGTAAAATTAACCAGTGCTTACTGACTTACTGTAATGATTAGTATTTATTAAAATTAATGAATGTCATGCAAAATTAAATATCTTTCCTGAATCTTATAGTAATGAACGAGAACACATGTAAGGATAACCAATGTATTTTGATACGAAATTACAGAGTTCTTTGGTCAAACATCAAAACCATATGTTCAATACTTCATTTACAAATCCTCCATCAACTGTCTCAAACTATATCGTTCCTTCATTGCCGTAACAATTAATCTCTGTTCCCGTTCTCTTCGTATCAAGCTTCCAGATCTTCTGCCAAGCCTTCCACTTCTGATATTAACATAAGTATCATACACCATAGTATTATTAAATCCAAATGAACAACTAGTAATCATTTGCTTTTTTCATGAAATCTAACATACCATAATACAACTTTTTTATTATAAGTGATCTTTCCAAATGAATTAATTTATTTATCTCAAAAGAGTATTTCGTTTGGAAAACATCAGTTTTTTGTTGAATTATTACTTTTTTAAAGCCTGTTAAACAAGTGGAACATTTCAAAAAACGTATTGATAAACCGGGATTTGTAAAATATCGTTATGCTCGTTGTATACCTAATTGTATATTGAAGATTTTCAATTCCGGTTCACCTGGTGATACAGTTGTTATGATCATGGCTACTTATATCGTATTAAATGGTGTTTTAATTATGTGTTTGACAATAGGAGCGAAACATGAATTGTGGCCAATATGGAGAATCGTTTGTGTAGTGTTCATTTTAGCATTACTGATATCCTGTATAGTATTGATGAGCATTTTTAAACAATTTGGACCCCCTTACAAAGGTTTGTTTCAAGTAAGTTTTTTCACGTTTTAAAATATGATATTGACATAACTTCGGTGTAACAGAGAAGAGACCTAAACTTCAATTTGGACAATCTAAATTGATAGACCTTTTAGCGCAGTAGTTATCAAAACATCACCGTTAAACCCCTTATCTTAATTAATATTATCGTCAGCACATTATTGTAAATTGCTAAGATGAAAAAGAACATTCAATATGCAAGGATGAAAACTTTGTTTTATGACTTGATTTCATACAAATTTAAAAGTCTTTACAAGCTGTTTACTTAGTAAGCGATGTTATCATAAAAGCTCTGATCAAAGTCCACCAAACAAGAAACTCAGTTTGGTAACACTGTATTGCAGAATAACATTGATCGACTCATGATCTCAATCGATAACTCAATAATCTCTACAACTTCATACTGATAACATCTTGTGTCAAATTCTAGGGTGAGTCAACCCAAATCTTCAATCAACTGATTTTAACAAAAAAAAGTGGAAAAAATGTTTTATTCTGGAGGACTGAAGAAAACTGCCAACAAAATCCCAAATTTAGTTTGTACCCTTGTAAACCTTGATCATTATTGTCTATTTGAAAACTGTTGAGAATCTTTACACTTTATTAAAATATTTACATTAATCATCCGAGGTGATCTTATAAAAGCATCAAAGCTGAATTGTTTAAACCAAATAAGAAATGAAAACATTAGTCATCATTTCCACTTTGAGTAAAACTTGTAGTTCAAATTGAAGAACATTTTCAATCATATAAAGAGCCTGATTTCATAAATTGTTATGTTCAGTATTATACATTCAAAAGATATAGTTAGTAGATGTTAATGGACTTTAATTTTATACATACTAATGAGATTTATGACGTTAATTTATGTAAATATAATTAGTCTATTTCATTTAGTAATTAAAATGTATATATTCAATTTCTAATATGAAGCGGAAATAAAAGTTTTAATTTTTCACATAATTTTCATTTTGGTTACATTTGGTCTTATCAAAGATAATGAGAACTGAATGGTAATCTAATGTTGACCAGACAGTGTGAAGCTAATAATTCCAGTTATTTACTTATGCACTAGTTACATGTAAAATTACTATAAACATATTCATTATAGAATAACTTATTATGATAGCAATTATGTACTTCCTATGTAAAACTGGATAATATTTGATAACATATATCTTCAATTATAACTGAAAAATTCATTTTTATGTAGCCTAGTTATGATAATCGATTTATTGAATTAACACGCAATCAAGCATCAAAAATTATCCTTTGACCTATGGAGATTAAAATAACTTTAATCACAGTTATATAACCGTATCCTTTGAATTAAATGTTTTCCGGACAACTTTTAATGGTTATTGCAAGAGTATTCAACCATTTATCTCCTTAGTCAGTGGACCTAATTACACGAGGATACTTTTGATAATTGAAACTTGTAGTTTAAATAACTTATCGCTTGGTATTGAACGATACTTTTTCATAATTAGCAAACGTTCTATAAGCGTCAAGTCCTTCATTAGTCAAGAAAGATCAACTGGCAATTTTATTCATAGATTACATGTTGATAAAGAATTATTTAAAACAAAACTATATCAGTAACGATCTTACCAGCTGAAATTTAATAACTCTAACATTTCGCTACCTAGTCTGATCCGAAATTTTACAGAGAAATAATCAAAATCAAAATTATTGAAGATATTTCATTGAATGCTTCGATTATTTATATAGGTTACGTCACGAACTGAACTCACCATTTAAAACTAGGAAGACCTAGACATCTGTTTCATCGTGATATGGGACTACTCAGCAGTGGGCATCCTGGACCCCACCACTGGGGATCAGACCCAAGTCCCACGGCGATGACATAACCTGTAAATCACTGTGATGGCATCCAATGGTGTGGCAGTGAAATTAAAATATAATTAGTCGCTGAGTGTGGACAAACAGGTACTTAACCTGCTGACTATTAAATATGTGATTTCCTTTCATTAATTTCTACTCCGAACTTATCGGGTGCGACTGCTTTTAACTGTGTTGAATAAAGTATTATCTAGTGTTAATCTGGTTTTTTATTCTGGGTCGTGAATCTTAGATCTGATATAACATGACTAGTCCCATTATCGTATAACGTATTATCGTAGTATACCCGAGAAAAAAATTTTAAACCATCTGTTGTATCAGAGTTAATATGAGTTAATATTTTATTTACAGCTTCCCTACGTTCCGTTCATCCCATGTGCAACGTTAACTATAAACGTATTTTTGATGAGTGAGCTTTCATGGGTTACCTGGATAAGATTTACTATTTGGATAGTAATCGGTAAGTACTTTGTGTGTTGTTTTATAAATACAAGTGGATGTTTGAAAACCCGTAAACTCTTCAAAAGTGGTTAAAATTCAGTCATAGAATTCTTCATTCTTAGAAGATTCACTCTAATAACAAACAAAATTACCTAGTATTTTTTTTAAAATGCCAAATGAATATAGCTACCTGCTGTAGATAACGATAATTCATTAGATGCTAATCAATATTACTTCAGTATAACACTAAAATTTGACTATTATAGTAAAGATATCCAATATGTAACTTACTAGTATTATCTGAGCTTCATTTCAAAAGATTATTTTTATTATGGTAAAAGCAAACTAATCTTAAATGTGAATTCACTGTAAAATACCTATTTAAAGCGCACTGGGAAATCGATTTTCGATACGATTAGTACATTGAGGCTAATTAAATAATTAATACATTTTTTTTCAAAATTAACTCTAAAACATTATGTAAATGGGTTGTGATTTAAATGAAATCCTGACGTTACATTCAGTATATTACTTTTGAGTTGCTAATGGTGAGAATTGTTTCCAATTAATTTTATTCATATTGTAATCTTCATTTAACATAATTAACGAATATTCTTCCGGTTAAATTTTTTTACAGATCATCCCTTCTGTCAGCATATTTTAAATTTTTATTAGTCGACCTACAAAATAACAATTAACAGTGATTCGTGTAATTAAACTTTGTGTAATCCAAGTTAATAAGCTGGTTAAAACTAGTAAATCTAAGTTAAGAACATAACTGACACATTTTTTTTCTTAGGTTTTGATTAAATTTCGTAGACCCTAAATCTTCAAAATTCTTCAGTGAAATAAAAAGTCATTTTCAGTAAACAGTAATCAATTATCGATGATCGATCTTATACATAGTTTAGATTGCATAATTTTGAATAATGTATCATGAAGTTATATTGAATTTTTTCTTTATTCTTTCATATTTATGCAAGGTCTGACACTTTATTTTGGATTTGGAGTAATGAACACATATCGACTATCTAAGGATAATGAAAGTGACAATTCACAAACTTATCTACATGATCCAGACGATGAGAAAGAATTCGATAAAACTTACATATCTACAAACAAGGCTACATAGGAAGTCTTTCATGAATAGATGGTGTTCACAAAACAGTTGGATTCAAATTTTTTAAATTCTCTTTTCAAAATTGTTTATCTTCTTAATTCGTTTATATTTTACCACAAAAATTATGACTACAATTGAAATTACTGCTATCATTTCATTTGTAAAAACCAAGAGATCGTCATCGTCAGTACTCAATGATGATAAATAATACTTATGTCAAGAAACTGAATGATACTTTGAAGTTTGGACTTATCAAAAACCAAAATCTCTACATTTTATTCTACACATACTACTAAATTTCATAGAATTATGATGGATTGTAAAAATTTTCTTACTGCTTATTTTTATGAACAAATTATAATTAATGGAGAGGGATAGATAAACCAAAATTATCTGAGATTATGAACTATATTGTTTTATATAATCTATAAATAAATAACAAAAAACTATAATCAGCTTCCAGTATGTTATAAATTTTATTAATGCTGAATCAAATATATACATGTATAATTCCAGAACAATCGACAATTAGTTCTTTACAATCTCTTCATTTGGCTACTGTAGCGAGGAAAACGATGACAAAAAGTCAATAACCTGCACGCAAGATCGTGGATGCACACTGCTGAAGCGTTCCGTACTAGGAAGCGGAGGTAAAAAATTGCTTCCAGGTTATTATTGGTGATCTAAAATTGGTCAGTTCGTGAACACATAAACCTCAACAATGTCCACAACCCTATACCGTGAGCGATGAATACTTCTCACAATCTAACTAAAAATTACGTAAACAGATTCTCTGCTTCCCGGATCATTTATTCACGTACTTACTGCCTTACATATACCTGTTAACCCTTGAGGAAAAGCATAGGGAAATCACCAGCAGTCTTCATCAAACTGTCCTGGACAAACATTTCAAGTTCTTTTCAGTTGCTGTTCATTCTTTTCATGTCTGCTTCTAATTACCCACACAGTGTGTTCCTTGGTCTTACTCGTTTCCGTTCCACTTCATGATTCCAAGTTAGCGCTTAACTCGTGATGCAGTTTGATCATTTCCTCAATGTGTATCCTAACCACTTCCAACGCCTCTCCCAATTCCCTCCTCAGCTCCAACCTGGTTTGTTCTCGCCCACAGTAGACTGTTGCTGATGATAGCCAGTCAACGGACATTGAGTATCTTACATAGATAATTGTTTATAAATACCTGTACCATTTTGATTATGATTGTATTAGTTCTGGCAGTTTCAGCAGTGTACACTAGAACTGTCTTGACGATTATATTGAGGATTGTGACTTTGATATTGGTTGGGAGACGGCCGTTTGGAGTTGTATATGTTGTTCAACTGTAGGGCTGCTGTCATTACTTTGCCAATCCTTCATCAGATCCTCCTTGTATATTGATGATGCTGCTGGCCAGGTATGTGAATGTTTTCACCTGTTTCAGAGTTTCTCCATCAAGTGTGATTGTATTGTTGTTCTCCGTGTTGTGTTTAAGGATGTTACTTCTTCCCTTGTGTATGTTGTGACATACTGTTGCAGAGGCCGGTACCACCTCACTGATTGTCTTGATCTGCATTTGTTTGTGAGTATGGGGTAGAAGTGCTAGGTGTTCTGTGAAGTCCAAATCATTTAGTTGCGTGGAAGCTGTCCATTGTATTCCGTGCTTCCCGTGAAATGTGGAGGTCTTCATAATCCAGTCGACCATCAGAAGAAAGAAAAAGGGGGAGAGTAAGCAGCATTGTCTGATGCCAGTGTTCGATTGGAGTGTATTTGTCAGCTTCCCTCTATACACGACTGTGCTGTATAGTCAGTTGTAGGGATTCCGTATGATTGTAACAATCTTCTTAGGTACATCGAAATGTCGACCAAGATGCCATAATGTTCTGCTATCCACCATGTCAAATGCTTCAAGACATAACACTTAATTAAATAATATCAGAAAAAGGTTTGTCGATTTTATAGTAATTATAATAGTTAAATTCATCAGTCAATTGGAGCTAGACCTCCATGGAAAACCTGGAAACACTGGACGGCCGTTTTGTCCTACTGTGGGGCTCCTCAGCAACACGCACCCACGATCCCTAGCTTCAGTTGACTCATGATTTCAACTAATGAAATTACTTAATTAATTATTGTTCAACATTTACATAGTTGATAAATTTCTCAGAGGTTTGAAAGAACTGGCAAATTCCATTGGTTAACTTAATAATCAACCACTTGATATTTAGGAATAAGATAATTATTATTGATCTATATATCTAGTAGATAAATCAGTGTTTTTAGATCGGGCTATTGGCCTTTAAATTAATGAAGTTCGGCACTTTTCATGTATTCATTTGATAATTAATATCGCATAAATTTTTAAATACAACATTTTAAGAAATTACAATTGTCTTTTTTTTAAGTACTTGGTTAAGAGTATAAACAATAGCCAATAATAATAGTAATAATAACAACTTCAAGCCTGCTCATATGACCGTTTATTCTTATAAACAATTATTCAATAATTTGCAAGAGAATAATCTCACAAATATTGATTTAATTGATTAGTTTAAACATGAAAAAAAAGAAGTTACACATATATAAACGTGAAAACTTATAGATACTACTAACTACCATTCATGTTTCATTTTATTATTTTTCATATTCGTGTGATAAACTGCTGAAACAAAAGGATACTCTCTCTCCCCCTCTCTATAGTATATACCATATATATATAATAGTGAGATTCGCCTACCACATTTTAACTATTCTAAATCTACTGTAAATTGGACAATAAAGGTCTATGAATAGCAGTTGTTTTACTGGTTTAGAAAGTTAACGCAAATTGGGTCAGGACTAGGTGACATGACAAATCCAGTTATTTGATGAACATGCATATGTGAAAAAGAAAGAAAATTTACAAAAAGGAAGAGTATGAAAAGTAAACTGTTTTTTTTCGTTCAGAAACTGAAACCTAGGCTAAACTTCTATTTCTGGTTGTTTGTACACTAGCAATCTAGAAGAATTTTAATATTAATTGCGTTTTCCATGTTCAGTAACTTCAAACAGGTTAGTCATTTATTAAATATGATAATAATAATTAATGAAGTAGACGTGAAAAAAAGAACAGAGTTGAACAATGAGAATTTCAAAACGTCTATTTACTGAGAATGAAAACAACATTACTAAAAAACGTTAACCAGGAAAAAACAATTAAAACCATTTAAACTATGTCTTCCGAGATCAAGCATCTTCACCCGACATTCTTCGGAAGTCATCAGAACGATGCTCCTTCTAACAACCATAGCAGCAACTAACATGGGTATATGAGATGCATGGATAGTGCATGACACTGGGAAGACCAGTCAAAAAGCTATGGAAATGAAGAGATACGACTTCATGATGCTCGGAATCAGTACAATCCATCGAAGCCGAACTGGACAGAAAAGATTAGATTCGAGAGAGATGCTGCAGTGCTCTGATCGCGAAGAGAAAAACGCTCCACACACTAACAGAGTTGCTCTGATGCTATCCAAAGAAGCACGTAGAGCGATTACAATATGGGAATCTCATGGATCCACAAACATCAATGCGTCATTCAAAAGAGAGAAGGAGGATATCACAATGAATGTTTTCCAATGTTATGCACAGATCTATGAAAGAAATGACAACGGCAGTGACCAATTTTGCGAGAGACTGCAGTCGATCATAGTAAAGTGCTCAAAAAATGACCTAACCATCCTCACGCTAGACTTCAACACCAACGCCAGAATGGATAATACCGGAAATGAAAATATCATGGGACAACATGGACTGACTAGGAGAAATGAACGAGAATGGTGAGAAATCTGCAAATTTATGTGCATTCAACAAAATGGTCAACGGTGGTACAACATTCTTACATAAAAGCACACACAAAGTCACATGGATCTCACTGCACCACACCGCACAGAGTCAGATCGAGCATATTTGCATCAGTTGAGAATTCACTAGGTCAATGGAAGACGTGAGAACCAGGAGAGGCGCTGATATAGCTTCACATCACCATTGACCTGGTGATTGCCTGAATGCAACTGAAACGAAAGAAGCATTGGATAACTGGATTAACAGCATTACAAAGTTCAATACGGCCTTACATTCGACATACTGACAAACTCAACCAATTCAAGATAGATCTCAACAACTAGCTTCAAGCCTTACAGGATCTACTGAAAGAAGAGGAAACTACTATGGAGAACAAGTTGAGATGAATAAACAAACGCTAACTCTTATGTGTCGAGAATCGCTGTGCTGTAAGTAGCATCATCGTAAGGGATGGATCTCTATGGAAAACGTGTTTTGTATTCAAGAAAGGGAGAACATGAAAATGGCAATTAATAACAGTCAAACAACAACAGAGAAATTCAATTTACAAACTGAATACACAGAGGCGAATAAGCAAGTGAAGAAGAGCATCAGAGCTGACGAGCAGAAATATGTGGAACACGTACCAATGACAGAGGAAACAGTTGAAAGAGAAGGAAATATGAAACAACTAAATGACACAACGAAAAGCTGACCGGAAAATATGATAGAGCAAAGAGACCGGTCACAGACGAAGAAGCGATACAATCACTGAGATTCAAGAACAAAGGAACAGATGCATGACTATCAGACAAACGAAGTAATGGTAAGAAGAATGACTTGAAAATATACCAGCTGAAGCAATGAGTTCAAGCATAGAAGTAACTTCAGACATGTTCCACATTCTATTCAGGAAGATTTGAGATGAAGCACAAGTGCCGCCGACAGAGTGAAACAGAAGGACACCAGGAAACGTTTTTAACAGTGTTGCTGAATTGGATGAAGGACTGAATAGACGTCCAGCTGCGAGATCAACAGATCGGATTTCGTAAGGATTGGTCATGCACAAACCAAATCGTGACAATACCGACCATCGTTGAACAATCAATTGAATGAAACTTGTCTTTATACACTAATTCCCCTGACTGTGGGAAGACGTTTGACTGTGTTCATAGGAAAACACTATGGAAGCTTGTTCGAGACTATGGACGGAGTAATTGTGAAAATCATCATCATGATCCGGACGAAGACGTAAAGACAAGGATTGGCAAAGTAATGACAGCAGCCCTACAGTTGAACAACATATACAACTCCAAACGGCCGTCTCCCAACCAATATCAAAGTCACAATCCTCAATATAATCGTCAAGACAGTTCTAGTGTACACTGCTGAAACTGCCAGAACTAATACAATCATAATCAAAATGGTACAGGTATTTATAAACAATTATCTATGTAAGATACGCAATGTCCGTTGACTGGCTATCATCAGCAACAGTCTACTGTGGGCGAGAACAAACCAGGTTGGAGCTGAGGAGGGAATTGGGAGAGGCGTTGGAAGTGGTTAGGATACACATTGAGGAAATGATCAAACTGCATCACGAGTTAAGCGCTAACTTGGAATCATGAAGTGGAACGGAAACGAGTAAGACCAAGGAACACACTGTGTGGGTAATTAGAAGCAGACATGAAAAGAATGAACAGCACTTAGAAACAACTCAAAAGGAGAGAGGAAGACGCAGTTCGATGGAAAATCCTGAAGTGTGACATGTGCTTTTTTCCTTCTGTTATTTAATTTTGGGTAAATTTAATTTGTTTATTTATTGTTATGAAGAAGTGACTTACACTGAGTCACGGAACGTTAGAAAATTAAATTTTTCTATAAACTGAGATATGACGAATAATTTATTTTTCTATTATTCTACCTACTGATAGTTTTGTACCATTAGCTACGAATTACAGCAATTTTTAGTACATCTAGCTGGTGAAAACAATTGTTTATCATATTTTGTAACTACTCACTTTTTTCACAGTTTTATGACAGTATCTTGAATAAACAGATAAATTTAAAGTAAGTAAATCATCTTTTAAATATCGAGATCATAAAAAAGCATTATTCATTTAGCTTTTATAGTAAATAACTCCGCCTGGAGACCCTTTCCGGGGGCTACTGCCGGTCCCAAGCCCGGATAAAGGAGGAGGGTTGGGCATGGGGTTAGCGACCCCATCCCATAGAAAACTAACTCGCTAAAAAAACGCTAACCAGAAAAAATTATTCAAACCATTTAAACTCTGCCCTGGGAGTCAGGAGGTCTTCGTTTAGAAGAATTATGACGCCTCATGATGAAAGCCGAGTTTCTTCGGAAGTCACGAGGCTGATGCCCCTTCTGACAACCAGAGCAACCATTTACTTAGGTACATGGAATGCTCGCACAATGTGGGAGACTGGGAGAGTTTTCCAAATTGCTGCAGAAATGAGGAGATACAATTTAGAGGTGCTTGGGATCAGTGAAACACATTGGACGCAAGTTGGACAACAACGACTAACTTCAGGGGAGCTGCTGTTATACTCCGGACATGAACAAGAAAATGCCCCACATACACAAGGAGTTGCATTGATGCTGTCCAAACAAGCACAAAATGCACTTATAGGATGGGAATCTCATGGACCAAGGATCATCAAAGCCTCCCTCAAAACAAAGAAAACGGGCATTACAATGAACGTCATCCAATGCTATGCGCCTACCAACGAATACAATGAAGACGCTAAAGATCAATTCTACGATAGGCTGCAGTCAATCGTCGAGAAGTGCTCAACAAAAGACCTGACTATTCTGATGGGAGACCTAAATGCCAAGGTTGGAATTGACAACACCGGATATGAAGAGATCATGGGACGACACGGACTGGGAGAAAGGAACCAAAATGGTGAGAGATTTGCAAATCTATGTGCCTTCAATAAACTGGTCATTGATGGCACTATATTCCCACATAAACACATACACAAAACCACATGGACTTCACCGGATCACACCACACAGAACCAAATCGACCATATCTGTATCAACAAAAAGTTCAGGAGGACGATGGAGGACGTGAGAACAAAGAGAGGAGCTGATATAGCATCAGATCATCACTTGCTGGTCGACAAGATGAAATTGAAACTCAAGAGGCACTGGACAACGGGGCGGACAATATCACAAAAATTTAATACGGCTCTTCTTCGGGATATTGACAAACTCAATAAATTCAAGATAACCCTCAGCAATAAGTTCCAAGCCTTTCATGATCTACTCAATGGAGAAGGAACTACTATGGAGAGCAACTGGAAAGAGATAAAAGAAGCAATCACTTCAACATGTCATGAGGTTCTGGGCCAAAAGAAGCACCATCACAAGGATTGGATCACGGTCGATACACTGGATAAGATTCAAGAAAGGAGGAACAAGAAAGCAGCAATCAATACCAGTCGAACAAGAGCAGAAAAAGTCAAGGCACAGGCTGAATACACAGAAGTAAACAAGCAAGTGAAAAGGAGCATCAGAACTGACAAACGTAAATATGTGGAAGATCTGGCATTGACGGCGGAAAAGGCTGCCAGAGAAGGAAACATGAGACAACTGTATGAAACAACAAAGAAACTCTCTGGAAATCACCGTAAACCAGAACGACCAGTGAAAAACAAGGAAGGCAAGATAATCACGAACATTGAAGAACAACGAAACAGGTGGGTAGAACACTTCAAAGAACTCTTGAATCGACCAGCCCCACTGAACCCACCCAACATCGAAGCAGCACTCACGGACCTCCCAATCAATGTTGGTGCACCGACAATTGAAGAAATCAGCATGGCCATCAGACAAATCAAGAGTGGCAAAGCAGCAGGACTAGACAGCATTCCAGCAGAGGCACTGAAAGCAGACGTAGCGGCAACTGCAAGGATACTCCAAACTCTCTTCAGAAAGATCTGAGATGAGGAACAGGTACCAAAAGAGTGCAAAGAAGGACTTCTAGTCAAAATACCAAAGAAAGTCGATCTCAGCAACTGCGACAACTACAGGGGAATCACTCTTCTTTCAATACCGGGAAAAGTCTTCAACAGGGTATTGTTAAACAGGATGAAGGACTCCGTAGACGCCCAACTTCGCGACCAACAGACAGGATTCCGTAAGGATAGATCGTGCACAGACCAAATCGCAA